GATAACTGATGAAAAGGGAAAGCCGCAACAAATCTGTGTTTAAGACAATGAATGTGGTTTACAAAGATATTTTTCAAAAGATATATCCCAATGCATGTTAAGTGTTAAAGACATTTTGTAATGCTTTTTTTTTTTCTTTTAAATTGGTTTGTGATGTTATTTTTAACAATCAAGATTAGAGAGTATGATTATCGTAACTTCAGAAATTAAGCTATACACAGAAATATTTATTTGTGTTTTTAACGTTTTTAAAAATTCTTTGTAATGTTATACGATCTGTTTTTCTTAGCTTATGTTAATGTTTAGTACTAAACACTAACCATTGTATATTGTATGATAGTTTTCAGATTTTTTGTAGAGAATTTTACGCATTATTAATGTTTTAGTGATCATTCTATCAATAGTTTTACATTTTCGTGATAGAGTTTGATTAACGAGAAACTGCTAGAGTGATTAACAAACAAATTATTGTTTTAAAAATATTCAGTCAGTGCATGTAGCGGGCAACACACCTAGTATATATATATATATATATATATATATTGCTACATTGCTTTTTGCAGAAGAATGTTAAAAAGTTTTAATTTTCTAATTAAGATATATAGATTACTTGTAAATGTGTTCATATTCCAAAATATATCACATTAGTGAGAAAACATGTCAAGGGAATTAATACTGATGAGGTGACGGATCTTAACCTCACATACTCCTCTCCGTTATATGAAATTCTCATATACTCTTTCCATATCCATATTTTCTTTTTGATTTTCTTTTTAATACAAAAAGGCATAAAAAGACCAAAAACCGTTAATGAATAACCAAATTACATATCCAATTCAGAATACCGGACTCAAACCAAAATCCAATTTAAATAACTAATTTAACCGAAATTATTAAACTAAACCAATTTAATTGTTTTAAACCATCCAATTTAATTAAACCATCAACCAAACCCTAAAAGTCTATTCCCGAAGACAAATCCATCGTCTTCCTCTTCGATTCCATCATTTTCTTCCTCTTCAATTCCATCATCTTCTTCCATCATTTTCGTCTTCTTCCATCATCTTCTTCCTCTTCGATTAAATCCCCACACTCTTCGCTCACCGCCACTCACTCTCCACTCTTCACTCTTCTGTTTTAGGCTCGTCACCGTCGCCGTTTTAGGCTCGCCACCACCACCGTTTCACACTTCAGTCATCACCGAGCAGGTATGTTCTAGGCTTAAGAGTAATTAAAACCTTAATTTATGATTTTCTTCCCTCAACCCTGAACCCCAACTGATTTCTGATTTTTGTTTCAGAATTTTTGAAGGATGTCGACTAGGGGTTCACCTTCTCAACCAGAGAGATCTGAGGCTAAGTATGCTACGGCATCAGAAGAAGGATTGGGATCAAACTCAAATGTTGATCCATTACAACCGGTATGTAGTTTAATACAACTAGAATTATCGTGTACAATTGAGATTTGTTTGTGGTCGAACGGTATGTAGTTTAGTACAATTGGAATTATCGCGTACAACTGATTTTTGCTTGTGGTTGAACCAAATGTAGTTTAGTACAACTGGAATTATCGCGTACAACTAGTTTTTGCTTGTGGTTGTACCAAGAATACTAGTTGTACCAATACACTTATATTCACTTATCATATGCGTTTTGATTGCAGCAAGAGGACGTCTCAATACCAATGGAACCTCGATGTTTATTCTTCAAGCAAAGCGAGTATCTGTTATACCCGAAGCTTCAATCAAGGTGTGAAACCTTTAAATTCATGGAAGTCTTCAAGAAGCTTGATATCTCATAGAGAAACTGGTTTGAGAACCACCCACAATTCAAGCATATTGTCCACATGTTTATGGGAATGTGGATGTTGCTTCTCCGAACAGCAGTGACAGACAAGCAGCGGCAGTGTTGGTTTGTTGTGAATGGTGTGCCTGTTCGGTATTCAATCAGAGAACACGGCCTTCTTTCAAGATTATTCTGCCACCATTATCCAGCCGACTATGAGCAGTTAGGGAGTATGTATTTTGTGGAGGAGCAGTTTGGAAAGACTAATATTGAGGTGAAAGAGGTGCGTGAGAAGCTGGAATCAATGGATTTCATTGAAGGTGGTACTGATAGGTTGAAGATGGTTGTACTTTTCTTCTTAGCAACTGTCATCAAAGGAAAGTCCAAGAAATATGGTGGATCCATAGAACCATTCATTCTCCGAGTGGTGGATGATCTGGATCTGTGTGAAACGTTTCCTTGGGGTCGTTTCACTGTTGATGACGTCTTAGCTGAGGTTGCACATCTGGTGGATCATTTTGGAGGATCTGTTCGAGGGAATTGGACTTTTCCGGGGTTCATATTGCCTTTAGAGGTAATGTTATATGTTTTAAATTCAGTATAACTTATACAACTAAAAATCGTAGTATTAGTACAACTAGTATTCTTGATTCAACTTGATATAGTGTATAGGTAGTAGTATTGGTACAACTAGTATTCCTTGTTCAACTAGAGATAGGGTATAACTGGTATTATTGGTACAACTCGTGTTTAGGATACAACTAGTTGAACTGGTATTATTGGTAGAACTGGCATAACTAGTACGATTATATGTGCAGATTTTGGCTTTTGAATCTATCCCGGTTCTGAAAGAAGCATTTCAAGAAAAAGTTTGGAATGCAGATGGTGATTGTCCAAGAATGTGCAAGTGGAAGTTTAAGAGAACATGCAAAACATGATTTTTTTAGCTGATATTTATGAAGTGCTTGGAGATACAAAGGTTTAGGATTCTCCTTTAATTTTATATTTTTACATTATTAGAGATTTATTTTAATTTAATTTTTGTTTTTTTGTTAAACAGAATATTATTAGTATCTTGGTACCTGAAGATGGAGAAGACATGCTCTTGCTTAACATCCTAGACGAGCATGTATGGGATGACTTCAAAGTAGGAGAGGATGATGCTGTTCCTGACCCTGTTGTTGATAGTTGGCACAAGATTTTAGTCCAACTACAAAAGAATATACACTTGAAGGATCTGTACCAATTAGATGTTAAATCCCGAGAAGACCAGCCATTGCCCAAACCGACAGATACTGAAGCTGTAGGAAGTGAGGATGTGTTGAAGAAGATGGAAGAAGGGTTTATAAAGATTAACGAGAAAATGGAAGAAGGGTTTAGGAAGATTAATGAGAAGGTTCATGAGATGGACACAAGACTGAAGTCTGTAGAAATGAAAATAGCTGATCAAAGGAGAGATTCTGATTTTATGGATTTTCAGTATGAAGATGTGGGGAGAGTGTATGAAACAGGTGGAGGATCAAATGCAAGAGGTAAAAAAAGATATTTATTTCTTTCCTTTATTAAGTGTATGTTCAAAAAAGATATTTATTTCTTTATTTACATTTTTTTTGCAATGTAGGTGATAAGGGTATGGAGGCCACAAACGCACACGCACATGCAGAGGAGACAACGAACACACCTGTAGAGGAGACCACAGATGCACCTGCAGAGGAGACCACGGACGGACCTGTACCTGCGGAGGAGACCACAGACGCACCTGCACTTGCAGTGGAGACCACAAACGCACCTACACCTGTAGTGGAGACTCCTGAACCACCACGAAAGAAACCACGCTACAAAGTATGTATGCGGAAGAGTGCTGAGGCTAAAATGATGGCTGAGATCATTAGGAGTAGGAGAAAGGGTAAACCATCGAGGCATATATCCACTCCTTTCGAAAATGATGCACCAGCACAAAGGAAGAAACGAGAGGCTGCAAAAAAGAAGTAGAAGAAACAAGTTTGTTTTGTTTTTGTTGAAACTAGTTGATGGCTTTTGGTGAAACTAGTAGATGGTTTAGGTTGAAACTAGTAGGAGGTTTATTGTTTTATGTTTGGTGAAACAGGATTCAAAAGGTTGAAAACTAGTAGCAGGTTTATTAATTTAATTATGTTTTCAGATTTTTTTGGTTAGTACAACTGATATTATCGCGTACAATTAGTGTTGTTGAAACTAGAATAAAAAGAAATGTATAGTGTCAAAAAATTTTAAAAAATAAAAATAAAAATAAAAGCCACATGTGCGCCGTCAAATTACACGAGCGCCGGCAAAATATTTATAAAAATAATTAATTACTTTTGATGCGCCGTCAAATAATATACAAAGTTGTACTCAAGTAGATAAGTTGTACTCTATTTTTTTTATTACACAGAGTTGTATTTTCATAGATAAAACGATTTTATTAGTTATATCGTACTAGAAATTACATTTTTATAGTTGTACTTTTGAAAATAGGTAATAATAAGACATTTAAGACACATATAGATAATTAAATGTATAAAATTATGTTTTTTGTTAATTTCTTATAACTATATAGCATTAGTTGTAATAGTTGCCATAGAAGTATACGGTAAATATTATGAAAATATGACTTTTGTGTTCTCAATATTCAAAAATGCATCAAGTTGGATTTACTTCATCAAAATAGATATGAAACTAAATCCTTAAACACATATTGCTTTCCGAAATGCGGTATATTAAATAAAACGAAAAAAATGAAAAAAAAAGTTCAAGTACCCGATAGTTATACTAGTTGTACCCGATAGTTATACTAGTTATACTAGTTCTACCCGATAGTTATACTAGTTGTACCTAAATAGTTATACTAGTTGTACCCGATAGTTATACTAGTTGTACCCGATAATTATACTAGTTGTACCTAAACATCACCAGAGATTCCTATTCTGCTTCCTCTTGTTCTGGTACATTAGGATCATTAAACAACCATGCTCCTAGTCCTCTTCCTCTTCCTCCTCCTCTTCCTCCTCTTCTTCCTCTTCTTCTCCCTCGATGTTCTCCAACTGATGGATGCCTAATTGTGTTGATGCGTCATTTTTTCTTAATTATTTCTGGAGGAAATATACATTTTGCTCGGATATGGTCAGGAACAACCCAGTCATCTTTATGGGGGACTGGATAGATTGTCATGCAGTAAGCCAACGACCAATGTTCCATCTAATAATAGTGGGAGCAAAATTCACGTAGATGGAGCTCTCTATCCCCGCTCATAAAGATAGCAGCTGCTATTGCATGCACACACGGATACTTGTCGATATCAAACCTCTTGCAACTGCAACTTTTATTTCTCATATCAACCAGATAAACCTTGCCATCACGCCCAATCACATTGTACTCAAGGTGGTAGCTGTTTAACTCATGCACCGTCAAGGTATTTGCTTCCACACATCTCACATGCATTTCGTTCTCCACATATGGCACAAGCTTATGTGCCGTAGAAACTTCATTAGACGTCTTCCTATACTTGTTAAACCATTCAGCTAATTTTGCAATAATCACATCAATCATTGGTAACAGCGAGTATTTCCTTGCTTCTACAAAAAACGCCATTGATAGATTCTGCACAATTGGTGGTGTCTATGTTATACCTGTCTCCGGGAAAATAGCATCTTGCCCATTTCTCCTCACCAACAGTTCTGTCCAGATAGTCGGCTGCATCTGGATACATTTTCCTAAAAGCACTATAGAGTGTCAAGAATTCATTCTCTGTATAAGCATGAGCACAAGCTCTGAACTTCTTCGCACAAGTCGCTCTATTGACTCCACTGACATTTCCTTTCACGTTTTGAGACAAATGATATATACAAACTTCATTCTGAGACAATGGAAAGACCTCACGTATTGACTTGAGGAGACTTACGTTTCTATCAGAAAGAAAAACCAGTTCAGGAACATCAGGTACAACTGATCTCAACTTGCTCATAAACCACATCCAAATTGCCTCTTTCTCACAATCAACTACACCAAAAGCAATTGGATAATGGTGATGGTCAGGATCCTGAGCTGTAGCAATAATTAAAACACCACCATATGCATTCTTAAGGTGGGTAGCATCCACAGCAATCACTTTTCTCATGACTTGGAAACCCTCAAGACAAGCTCCCAAGGCAAAGAATAGATACTTAAACCTGTTTCCCTCATCCAATTCCACATAAGTGTGTGTACCAGGGTTCATGAACTCTAGCATATACAAATAAGAGTGCAACAACTGATAACTCTCCTCTGGACTTCCCCGCACATCATTAGCAGCTGCTCTTTTACCTCTCCATGCAGTGGAGTATGATACTTTAACACCAAATGCGTTTTGAAGCAAACCAATCAGTTCTTGTGGTGCTGGAGTTTTAAGTTTGCCTAGATAATCAGAATGACAAATAGACCTGACCAACTGTGGTGTGCCTTTCCTTCGATTTTTGCTTGTAACTGTAGTAGCTCGAGAACATGTATGAATCTTGATGTAAGTTCTAACTGAGAAAAGATCTCAATTCTTCGTCTTTGCAGCTCGTAAATACCACTTACACCCATCTTTTGCTCCACGACATTTTAACACATATCGACGTGTATCTGACTGGATGATATCAAACTCAAAACCATTTTTACGGGAGGCTACAAACACTAATTCTTGCAATGACTCTTTTTTGACAAATTCTTGTCCTACAACTAAATCAATACCATCTTCCCATGTATGATTCACGTACACATCTCCTTCTACAGCAGGTGCCACCTTAATATCATCATACATACGAAAGTCTTCATGCACATTATTTCCAACATCTTCACCATCTTCACCATCTTCAGCATCTTCACTAACAACATCTTCTTTCTGCGGTTCTGATGGTTCACCTTTGTAAAAAGTATACATACCATCATTAACATCATCACCATGTTGTGGCTCTGACGGTTGCACAAATCCCTCATTTTGCTCAACATCTGTGATGAGCACCACATGCAAAACACTTCTACACTGATTATTATTCACTTGCATTAGATAACCAAATACATCTTCATCATTCCGAACATATGATGGCTTCTTGGGATCCAATATCAGTGGAAAGTAGCTAAGTCTAAGCTGCGTCATAGCTCCATCTACCATAAGCTTTTTGCAAATTTTATCAACCAGCCCATTGTAAGTGATCTCTTCCATAGATGTCTTTATCACTAAAGTATGAATTTCAATCTCTTCTGAGTTCCACCTCATGTATTCACCGTCCTTTGAATAATATCCCCCCGAATCAAAACATATGATTGTGCATCGAGTGTTACTCATCGTTCTCTTAAAAGAAAAATAAAAACCATTAGAATATATTTATAGTTGTACACCAGTGGTACTAGTTGCACCAGTTGTCTAAGTAATACCAGTTGTACTAAAAGCTTCTGGTTACAGATCGACGCTTCCGAAAAATTCATACGTATTCTAGTACTCTAATCTACTTAAATAACCAATGTAAAGCCCGAACAAACGTATACATAAGTTTACTAACAGAAAAAAAACCACAAACATAATTTCTAAACTCTAAATGCATAAACTCATTTTTTTGTTGAAAAGAGAAGAATTTACCTTCAAATCACGTTCTGGGTCATCGAGATCAGCTGAAAAAATGCTGCAGGATATGTATTTGTCAAGGGTTGAAGATCGCTGAAGCTTCCAAAATTTTGGAAGGAAGAAAACTCCAATTTTTTTTTCTGGTTTCTACGTACGAGGAAGAAAGAAAGAAGAAGAGAGTAGGTCCCATTCACATTAGTTGTTGTTAGGTGGTTGGGCTGGGTAGGTTCAAAGTAAAACCAAAATTAATTGGTGTGGGATGGGTGAGATTAGTTTGGTTTAAAGGGAGAAAGATAAAAAAAATTACGTGGGACCCACTCATTTAAAAAGAATGGGTAAAAAGGAGAGGAGAAAAGAAGAGGAGTATATAGAATAAAGTAAGAGTGTGTAAAATTTTTTTTTATCAAGAAAAGCATATGAGGTTAAAGTCTTGAAGTGACGAAGAGGTGGTGGAAAACTTTGACCAATAGATAGTATTTCTGAAAAGCCCTAAAATGTATAATCCGAGTTACAAAGTCCTGATACAACAACAAACCCAAAGAAAAGTCTATTCATAAAGATGATGATCAAATTTCCAATTTTTGCATTCACTCGCTCTAGCGTCAATTTCTGTAAAACATTTCATATTCATCCTTGCATCCATAGCATTGCCATGCATCACCGACATAAGCTAGTTATATTAGTGATTTGATTTGCTGCTTCCTGCACAAGTTTGTTTATTTCCTTGGCTCTCAAGTTAAGGTCGCAGTGGAAAGAAAGGACTGAGTTCAAAGATCAAGAATTCACAGGTGTTTTATTTTTTCGCATTTGAAATCATTAAATTAAAATGGATATAAATTATTTTAGCGCAAACAGTATACAAATAGAATAAAATTCCAAAATATTGAAAATTCTGAAAATACAAATTTATATATCCAATCTTGTTTGTAGTGCAAGATCTCTACATCAACAACAACAAAACAAATCTCGGATCTGATTTATCATGTTGCAATTTTACCTAAACAAATACCAAACCGTAATCATGTCATATGCAAGTCCTAGGCAGAATCATGTTTGGAAGGATCAAAGATTTGACCAACAAACAAAACTGCTGCAGTTTTATCTTCTCTAATCATAAAAAGAAAAGGATGATCAGCCACAAAATCTATCATCCTGCCGGATCTTCCACTTGAACCTCTGCCTCCTATAACAGCAGTAACAGCCGCAGCTTCTGCACCATCTTCATCGATTTCGACCAAAGCTTTATGGTACAATGAAACCTCTTCCAGATTCCATTCATTGAAAGCTCTCGAAGCCTCAAACCCAAATTCCATCTTAAACTTTGGGATTCTGAATTCACCAAGTCGAACTTCTTGCCATGGAATGTGACTATCCAAGAATCCACGAGTAGATGCCATTCTCTTCACCAGGCGATTCAATCCATCCTTGGCTTTAGGGAGATAGAAATACATTGAGAATTGGCGATTGCTATCATCGAACTGTCGAAATGGGAGCTTAAGGACCTTAAAACCATCGTAATCCCTTACATATTGCTTCCTGTAGCTGCTCATGAACGGCACAGAGACTGAGGTGCCATCGAGAAGTTGAAAGTCTTGGTCTTCCGTCAAAGACTTGGGAAATTTGTGTTCCCATGCTCCTTTGAAGTACAATGCGTTTCCATAAATCCACATGGTGTGAGGTGTGACTGATCTGGGAGGAAGAATGCTTTTGATGAGACCATTGGTGTGCTCTGAAGCCCACAAATTCACCTCCTCGCGCACTTGTTCAAACTGTGTTCACATATCATATGAGAGCTAGTTTTATCAGAATTTGTATGGCTTAGGTTTCAAAATTTGTCACATGATTTAGTGGGCAGTCTGTTCTACAGTTTTACACAAACTTTGACCTAATATGAGTCAAAGAAATTTGAAGGATATGTCTGCGGAAAACCTAATATAATACCTAATTATTAGCATGTTCGTTTCCTAGTCGCAACTACTAAAATTATGTCTGTTCAACAATTGCTACTAAACTTTAACCTAATATTCTACAGTTTAACACAAAAACTCTTAACCTAATACTATAATCAAAGATAATTGGAAATCATTGGTGAAACTAGAAACTAACCTTGAATCGGAAATCAACTTGAGAGAAAGGTGCCTTGAAGAAATTCTCAAGGAGGTCCTTTAACAAGGGATTAAAAGATAGTGATTGCTCCATCCACACTCCATTAACGGATGAGATCTTAGGGCCACCGGTCTCGCTCCCGTCGACAAGGACCATTGTAGCAATCTCGCTGAAAACGGCGTTGAGCTCATCGATTGAGGAAGAACCAAGGATGGAGAGGATAACGGATCTTAGGGTTTCTTGTTCGGAGGTAGCAGCGACCATGGTGAGTGCAGCGTTGATTGATGCTGGGGAGAAGACGAAGTTAGAGTTTCTGGCCACTGCAGAGATTACTTTCTCCGTAAGGTACATAGCTGCGTCGTTTTGCTTCCTCATCGCTTTGCGCACATCAACTTTCTTCTTTGAGAGAGAGGGACTTGCGATTTCTGATGCGCTAAGCTTTTGTTTCTTCGCTTTTGGATCCATCTTTTTTATGTTTTCTGCTTATTTCTTTGTGAGCAGCAATGCATATGTGTCATGTGTGTATATATAGGTGATCAAGATAGAAGGGTTAGTTTGGTGTATCGGCCCATTAGGAAAAAGAAAAAACAAAAATGATAATATATACAGTAAGTATTATGAATGTGAAATAAGAGGGAAAAGAAAGATGGAAATCTTAGGTTATTTAATTTACTGTTTGTCATTGGGCAAAAAATTAACTAACTTGGTAATCCCTAATCTAATAATCTTCTATTATTAATTGAGAATAACATTTTAAAAATAATATTTACTTTATGTGTGATTTACAATAGGGGTGGGCACTTTGGCTTATTTTCGGATTTGGTTTGAGTTCGGTTCAGTTTGGTTAATTCGGATTCAATAAATTTTAATCAAACTCAATTGAAATAAGTTTGGTTCGGTTGAATTCGGTTTGGTTTAATTTGGTTTGGTTTTTATTCGGTTTAGTTTTAATTTAATTTTAAAAAAATCAGTTTAAAGAAAAGAAATGGTGTGTTGGTTTAGGTGAAATTTCATATTTCATCATATTTCAAAAAACTAATATTATGAACTAACTAAAAAGTTAAATAAAATAAATATATTAGTTTTTTTGTTTGGTTCGGTTTAAAACCAAACCGAACCAAACCGTTTGGGTTGTGAAAAACTTCAACCAAATTAAACGAATTATATATTAAAAATAGATCGGTTTATTTTGGTTTAAGTTCAGTTAGTTCGGTTGATTCAGTTCGTTCGGTTTTTTTGCCCCCTCTAATTTACAAACATGTGTGCTGACGTGTCGTCATGAGAGAACTTTTCAAAACACATATTAAAAAATGATTGATTTGTTAGATAATTACATCATATTTATTAACATTAATTTAGTTAGATATTAATTTATATCAATTATATATTTAATATTCAACATTTAATTTGTAAATATATTTTCTCTTTTTCTATTTCTTATTAACATATTTATAACAATTTAATACATAATATTACTTATATTACTAAACATTGTATTTTATATCATCTTTCTTAGTTTTCTTAATTTTATTAAAAAAAATCATATTATCCATTTAATAATAAAAAAAATCTAATTTTTCAATACATATTATAATTCAAATTTTTTATTTCAAAAGCAAAGTATCTTAGTCTGATGTTATATCGGTTAAAGAGAATGTATAAATCCAATTTAGTATATTTAATATGTAATTTTATTTATATAAATCATATTAAAATTAATTATGAAACAAAGAATTATCTAATATTTATATAATTATATTAAAAAATAAATAGAATTATAACTATTATTTGTAATTGCATAATTAGCAAACATATTTACAATTATAAATATCAGCTAACATTTTTCGTAGTTGTATTTATATATATATATTTGTATATTCGAATAAAAAAATTCTGGTTAATATTTTCTCTGCACAAGGTGTATTAGTTTGGTTAATGTGTGAAAGACATTTTAAAACAACTTTCACTTAATGTGTGATTTACAAGAATGCCATGCTGATGTGTCATCATAAGAGAGTTTTTTAAAACACATATAAAAAATATTTGATTTACTAGAATAATTACATCATATGCCATTAACATTAATTTGATTAGAGATTAGTTTATATCAATTGTATATTTAATATTTAACATTTAATTTGTAAATATATTCTTTCTTTCTCTGTATATTTCTTATCAATATATTTATTAAAATTTAATACATAACATTACTTATGTTACTAAATATTATTATTTATCTCATCTTTCTTTGATTTGAATTTTGTTAAAAGAATAATCACATTATTCATTTAATAAAAAATCTAAAAATTTTCATACCTTTTTTTATATATATCAAAAAGTAAAATATGAAAACTGACGTTGAAATGATTAGATAAAACATATTAATCTATTTAGTATATTCAAATGTGTCATTTTATTCATATAAAAAATAATATTAAAGTAAATGTAAAGAAACTAATAATTTTGTATCAATTATGCATTATATTATAAAATAAATGTAATTGTAACCATAATTTGCAATTATATAATCAGCACATAGATTTGCAATTATAAATATCAGCTAACATTTTTTAGTTTTATTTATATACATTATATTTACATATTCGATAAAAAAATATGGTTAATATTTATTCCGTATATGGTTCTGGTTCGGGTACATGGTTCAGGTAATCACCTAGTATAAATGTAAATTTGCAGTTTTTCGTTAAAAAAATGTGAGTGAAAAATATGATTTAGACAACAAAATCTAAAAGACCTACCCGGCAAATTTTAATTGAGCTTCAAATTCAGTTGTAAGATCATTATGAAAAATATTACAATGCTTGCTTCTTTCCATGAATGCTACCAACATATAAATGGATTAGACTGCCAGTAGATGATAGTGACAATCGTTGACAAGAATTAGGAAATGAGAGAAGAGATACCCTCTGGTTCCTGTGGCCAAACTTTTACGTCAGTCGTCAAGGTTTGGTTAAAATGCAAAAAAAAAGGGAAATTGTAATGAATAATAGTCTGCAGAGAACAATTTGCAAGAATGAAAAGTAACTTTTTATTTTTGTGCAAAGACATTACACACCCTCAGCTTCCCAACCTTATGACATAAAACTTGTATCAAAGCAACACAAACTTTTTTGGTCTGACACAATTTATCTTTTTGTTTCATTGATTTCTTTTTAAAAATAATAATTTACATCTTGTTTTCATATTCAGGATTTTAAAATTTGAAATCATGTTCTTCATTTCCAAATCCTCTCTTTATATCCTTTCTTTATATCCTCCTTCTTCCATCAAAGATTCAAAAGAGGCGTTTTTCACTTTTTTATTTTTATTTCAAATAATTTCTCCCACATCCAAAAATTTCTCTCTTTTCTTTTTCTACGGTGATTACTCGTTCGTCTTTCTTCTTGCTCCTCTCTTTCTCTACGACGAGGCTCTACCATCTCTCATTATCGCCAGTTCATCAGCTTCAAACCATGGTGAAAAATCTGTAACACAGCCGATTCTTTCTTCAATGGTGAGGTATGAAACGTATATCTTCGATACCTGGTTCTGTTCTGCTGATTTTTACTTTCTACTATTTTTGTAAATTGTTCTGTGTATTTCTTCAGTACGGTGGCTATTTTCGCTGTTATCCACATCTGGGTTTCTTGATTTTATAGATTTAGGATTTTTATAGATCTAGGATTTTATAGATCTAGGATTTTTAAAATTTTCTTTCGGTAGTTAACTATATACATCGTCGCTAGTAATCGTCTACTCGCAACGTCTATAATCGATCCAATATAAAGCTACATATTCAATTAGTCTACATAACTACTAGACAGGAATAGTAATCTACTCATATATGTGTGTTTGTTATTTACGTCACATTGGTAGTCAGTTTACAGTAGCTAACTATTTGACTTTCGTTCGTTTCAAGGGATATATGTACTTTTCGACAATCCGAACCCAACCATTTGCAAATAATGTGCTTCCTCAGATTAGTGATGCAAACTGTCATATCCGTCCATTTTATGTTAACATTGCTAATCAACTACAATAGCGAAACCTAGAAGCAAATCCTATGTTATTTACTGTCTACTAATAGTTGTCTATTTCTATTTATTTATCAGAATGAACAACCTTCTACTAATAGTTTTCTACTTTATATTTATTTATCAGAATGGACAACCTTCCAATAACAAAAGACACATCCACTTTTGAACATCTCAACGTCTCGGCGAATAATGTGCTTTTCCAGATTCGGGATCTAGTGTTTGATGTCTTTGTAAGGCTAGGAAAAGAATCTGCGGTCGATCCTATTTCTTTTGGTTGTTATCTGGAAAAAGCATGTTAAACCAGTTCTTTCAAATTTAGTTGTTGTCTCTTGTTTTAGTAGACTACCTATGGGTAGATGTCTATGTTTTCCATTATAATTATGAACCTTTTACACGTTTTGCAGTTAACTACTATTATGAACATTTGTTTTTGAATTTGTAGCCAACTATTTATCTATGGATTATGTTTCAATTTAATTTTCAATTGTAGTCGGCATTTTGTGTAACTGACTACTTGTAATTACCATTCAGATATACCATTACTCAGAAAACCAGAAATACCCCTATTCCACTGTTCACACTAGCCTCTTTCAGAAACAGTAACATAACGGTTTCTCCTTTGATCAAGTTCGTATTTATATAACTGAAATCCAATATGTCGTAATCTTATATTTTTATTCATGTCAGATTACTTTACATGTTACCGAGTATATTGTAGACCTCCCAGAACCGAAATTGGAGTCTGGAAAGGTGATTCAGACTGGATATACTCCTAGTTTCTACTGCAATAGAACAGTGATGTAGTTTTTAATATAAAGGATTCGGAATCCAGAGGACCAGTGTTACTCTATAAATTTATGAGGATTGAATTAAAGCTAAGACGAAAGATGGTTTGTTTCGAAAACTAAAAAGTAAACAGAATGGCAAACAACGATTTAAATTCAAATTAAAACAAGCACTAGACCAAAGCAATTCGCAGGAATTTCAGAGATAAGAATCAGATGACTATTCAGGGCACAAGTGTAACGCAAGTCTCGAACTCAAACAGAAAAGCTTATCGATCCACTGTCGTGATCTCGATAACTTTGTCTAACAACCTAAATCCTAAACTGTCGTTTGAACCTAGAAAATTGCAGACAAGCATTAGCTAGCAGGTGTGATCTGTTCACGATTTGCCCTAACTTCAACTGTCGTTGGCTAAGGACAAATCGCTCACCAATGTTTATTCTAGCAACCTATTACACTTTTGATGAATAGATTAACCTAAAATCGCAGATTGAGTGATCAATTCAACCTGAGCATTAAGTCTAACAATGGTGAAGACAATATATATCAAGCCCTATTTGCATCTAATCCTTTAACTCATGAAATCCTTTGAACGCTTTAATCTAGCTAAGAGATCTACTCAGACATGGAGAAAAGAAACAC